TCTGATGCTCATGTCCATTCTTCAGATAGTCATATGCCATCTGGTTCACTGTTGTGTCTATTCCTATCTGCCCCTGGATGAACTGGGCTGACGTACACTCTAATTTCTCCCGCATTGACCTTTACCCCGCCCTGTTTCACGCCCCCTGAAGCAATGAACGAATACATATTACAAGAAGCGTACCACCATTCTCGACGCCAACGTCACAGTGCCCACGTAACAATCTGTGACACTGTCATGGCATCTGTCTTCAACCCACCACCACCCCACACCGTTCACACCAATTCACACCAATACGCCGCCCCACCATCGGCAACATGCTACGTCACGCAACCTCCACCACTCCAATGAACGACGGCCGCCCTACCGACGAGTTTAACCGCTCAACAAACGAATGCCACCGCCAAACAACTCGACACCCACACGCAACAAACAACGACCAGCGCCCAACAACTCGACACCCACAGGCAACCAACGAGGCACCCAACAAACGACCACGACCGCCCAACAACCGACCACGACCGACCAATAACCGACCACGAGCGACCAACAACGACGATAACCACAAGGAGCAAGCCGGGCCACGTCGCAGTCAGCGACGTGGCAACTATGCGTCATAGACGGACGACGACGACGACGATTACATCGTCGTCGCAACACGGTAAGCCCCCTCCCCCTTTATTACATATATCACCACATCTCCACCATCCAGCCCTTGATGAATACCACACCCAACGTCACCATGCCACCCCTCCTCAAAGGAAGGGGCATGCCGCCCGTCAGCGGCCACGTCACGACGCGAAACGACGCCAGGCAGGACAGACGCCAATCAACGGTGTGACGAGGACACCGACGGGCGAAAGACGGACGACAACGACGAAGGATGACGACGACAAAGGACGACGACGGCGAACGGACGACGGACGACGACGGCGAACGGACGACGGACGACGACGGCGTACAAACGACGCACGAGGAGGAGGAGGAGGAGGGCGGACAAACGACGACGACGAGCGTGTACAAACGACGAGACGACGAGGGCGTACAAACGACGGGCGGTGACGATGAAGATACGGTGAGCGCCCACCACCCACACCCGACGACGAGCCTCAATATATAACCCTCAGTACCCACCACCCTCACCCACTATCTCTCACTGCCCACCACCCCCTCTACCTCACTGCACACCACCCCTCTCCTTCACTGCCTGCCACCCCTCCCCCTCCCTCATTGCCTAACAACCCCCTTCCCCCCTCCCTCATTGCCTACTCACCTCCTTCCCCCCTGTTTGCCTACCACCCCTCTCTCATTCCTTACCACCCCTTT